AAAAAAAAAAAAAAAACAGACGGATGTGACGGTTAGTGAGCTAATCTATCTGTACATTTCATAGGCACTTAAGAACACAGAAAGGAATGGGCCAAACCTGCGATACATGGTCTCATGGAGAAGGAAGGACACTGAGGAAGAGTGGAATAACACAACCACAACCAGAACGAAGCACATTATTCATAATACAGACACCTATGTCCCGTATGAGATCAAAATAAAGGCCATCAATGATTTTGGACACAGCCCTGAGTCAAACATAGTCATTGGTTATTCTGGGGAAGACAGTGAGTACTAACATTTCATATTTAATGACACTTTTATAGTCTTTTCTGGTTTCTTTTGTACTTATATTATTTTTTCCCCATCAGAACCATCCGCTGCACCAACAGAACTCAGGGTGTCGAAGATCAACAGCACCAAAGTAAATGTACACTGGGTGCCTGTGGACCCCAGCACTGTGAACGGAGAGTTTAAAGAGTACAAGGTGAGTGACCAAACATCTGCCTGACACAAAAACATTTTACTTATTTGCTACCATTGCTAATTCAGTATTCATATCATATTCTCAGTTGTACTACTGGCGGGAGGCCAGCCTCATTAAGGGCCTGAAAGTGAACAAGACAAAGTTGCATAAAGGCTTCTTCACCATGGCAGAACAGCCCTCTGGCATCCTGACAGAGCTTTTTCCGTATAGCAAATACAAGATGTACATGGTGGTGGCTAATAGAGAATATGAGGGACCACAAAGCAACACTGTGGAGTTCTACACCAAGGAGGGAGGTAGGATTCACCATACTGTGCTTTAGTGGTGGAGCATTAGCTACGATGAGACGTCAAATATGTGACGTTTGTATCCAAAATCAGAATATGAACAGCTTTCATAATCCTTTCATAGAGCCAGGGGCTCCAAAGTACTTTAGGATTCAGAGGCACACAGACGTGGTTCACCTGAAGTGGGACAAGCCCCTAGAGCCAAACGGTGTCCTGATAGGATACACACTTCAATACCACACAGGTGAGCCTACCGTACACAAAGAGAAACCTCCAAAATGAGTGTGTAAACATACAGAAACTTCAGGTACTCATGTAAAGTTCGTATTTACGAGTTGGGAAGTCATAATTACAATGTCAGGTTCATTTAAATAATTTTGGTCAGAGCAAGATATGCAAGTATACCTTTCCTACAAAAAAATACCGCAAGATTTTTAACTCTGCTTTTTCAAAATGAATAAGGAATGTGCATCAGGTGTTTTTGCTTTGTTTTTATTCAGTTTATAAAGATACAATGCTATCATTTTGTTATACCTGCAACTTAGCTAGTTTTATTGTAAATGAAAAAAATAGTAATTTCATAAATTTTGATCCAAGTTTTCTGACTGAAACGGCCACAACTTTTCCACAAATATCGTAATTACGTGTTCCAAGCACATAAATGACTGAGAAAAGTTGTATTTACGAGTGGAAAACTCATAATTCTAGATCATGCACATGTTGTTTATGCTTATTTGAAACATGGCAGAAACATGGATCTATAATATAGATTATATTATGTTATGTATCTATGTATGTATCTCTATATCGCGAGGGAAGCAAGTCTGTAGTGAATGCTGCAAAGTTAATCACTCAACTTTAATGTTTTATTTTATATAAAAATGCAATGTATAAATAGTGATAGAAAGTGTTATGTTTCCATTTTAAATGCTTGACACTTTGTAATAACACATGCCGGACTTGGAGTTACGAGTTTACCATAATTAATTTATGGTAAACGTAATTACGATATCCAACATGACTTGAATGCACCATAAGCACTTGAATTTTGCACAATGCAAGCAATGCTGAAATGTTCTTCATGAAGTGTAAAAATCTAGCACACTTATTCATTCCGTTCTGCTTGTGCGATTCCAGTGAACGGGACACAGGCGGGAGAGAGGAAGGTCCAGAGTTTTCCAGCCAACGTGACAGAGTACATCATGAATCTGCCTAACCGCTTCACACGGTTCAAGTTCTACCTTGCAGCTCGCACACAGGTCGGAGCAGGAGAAGTGTACGCCGTGGAGTCACCACATTTCACTAATGAAGGTCAGCAAGCGAGTCGTCTCACTCTGTGTTCTGTAAACTGTTAGTGAATCTGAGAGCAGAATCATTGGATGTTCCTGTCTGTGCTCCACCCTGTCGTTCTCTTTCTTTCTAATAATACTTTTCTGTCTCCTTCACACTGTTGTTTCTCAATGCTTTGTGGTGTCTGTTTCTCTCGTAACTGCTTGATTTCTTCTTTGTCTTCTTTGACTTGCTCTCACCTGTCTCCCCTCTTCTCCTCCTGTCTTTCCTGTGGTGTTGACTGAAGGCACCCCAGATACTGACTCTACAGTTGTAGGTAATGGGGGAATGGACTGCCTGCCAGACTGCCTGCCTGTCTAACTCCTGCCTTGCTCTGTCTCTGCTTCAGCCTCTGTCTGTCTTTCTCTCAAATTCTGTCTGTCTGCTTTTTAAATACGTAACAGTGCAGCTGAGTACTTAAAGTCAACGTCACACTCAAGATTCCTACACTGAAAAAAAAAAAATTGGTGTAGAAACAATTTAGACTTAGAAAATTCTAAAGTAAATTTCACAAATAATTGCACAGAATCGGCAAGAAACACTTTAAATGAAACATAAAATTTTGAAGTACACTGACTGAAACGGTACTTCTTGTATAATGTACTCAAATAATATTTGTTTTGTTTACAATTTCAAAAAAATAATTTTACAACACTGTAGCCAAACACAAAAATAACCACATAGTGTACGCATTTAAACTGTTTCTGTTGTGTGTTTAATTAAAGGTGAAGTGGATAGGTTGACCAAAAGTCATGGTAATTTGTTTGGTTCCCTTTAGGAATTGCACACTTCACCTTTAACTCTTATATTTTCCCTGATGAAAAACACTGCTCAGCTGCACTGTCAATAAATGCCTGTCCCTATCCATCTCTTTGTTGGTCTGCTATCATCCATGTCACTGTGTGCTTTCAGGGATGGGCTCTTGCACTTTTGTGAAGTCACTGAATCTGCTCTCAGTGTAGCTGATTAGAGTTTTACCTCTTTAAGATGCTGGTAAGATGCTATTGTGCCTGAATCGGCACACAAATAAGATAAAGTCATATGTGGCTCTGATGTAATTTGTGATTTATTGGCTGACACCTAATCCCTGATGGCACCTTGCTACTTTAGCCCTGACATCACTTCCTATCACATGCCTTGCTTGGCATATCCTAGCATGCTCCTATCATCGTTTTAGTTTCAAATCTAGCCAGGAGCCAGACTGAACCACTTTGTTGTTAGAGTTTGGAAAACGGAGACCTCTAGTGGTAATGCTTGATACAGTTGCTTGTTTTAGGGGAAGGGAAGTTAATGTTCAGATGATAGAAGAAAAAAACACAAATATTGTATGGACATTTGTGAAGAGAATACTGTTATGGAAGCGAATCACTATGGCAAGCCAATTTATGTTGTTGATACCAATGGTTAAACTGTACAGTAATTACATGCTTTGGATGAAAATTGTGTTAATGGCACTAAAATCGCAATCATGTTTTTCTCTGGTGTAAATAAAGGGTATTGTCATGAATACAGAATAAATATAATTTTATATTGGAGGATAGCAGTTTTATCATAAGCCCTTTGAAATTGTATTGTACATTACCTGTTTTAGATTTAGAAGTTGCAAATAGTCAGAGAGGAGCAGTCTGTGTGTTATTTGTGTAAATTACTACTTTTCTGTCACCTCTTTCAAAGTGGATGCAAATGATGCAAAATTATGATTAATACCCCAAAATGTAAAGTCATGCAAATTATGCTGTGCAAAGCTTACAACAAAAAATGCCTGTGTTGAAAGGAAACTCAATTTTTCATGCTAATGTATGGATGAGCTGCTTATGGAACAGTAGTAATGGAATGATGATGTTTGGCTGTGAATCCATCCATGACAAAAATGGCATAATAGTAAGTTAGTGTATTAGTAAAGTAATTATGAGCGGTTTTCTAGTGTGTCTCCAGTAACTCCTTCAAAGTTTATGTGTAGCTTGTGCATGTGCAGGCCAAATGCCAAGCATGAAAGTTAGTATTAGATAAAACAAAGCTGCAGATAGTAAGTGTTGTGCTGCTTAATTATTTAAGAGGGAATCAGCTCGCCATTATTCACAAACTGTTGCTTTGGCAATGCACGCCTCTGCTTCTGCTTGTGCCACCTTAATTTCTCTTATGTCGAAGGCTTTTTTTTACATTTTGTGCCAGATGGAGACATACAGGTAAGAGTGCACTAAGTTATGGCTGATTGGCTGTGTTGATCTTAAATCACATCCCTGTGCAAAAGTCTCACATCCATTAGCATGTCTTGGTCTGGCAAAACTTGATGTCACCAAGCGCTCCGGGGCTCTCTTGACACTCTCTGTCTGACTTAATCTTTGCCAGCATATTTATGGATTGCTCTCACTTTTTAGTTGAGTTTGGAAACTGCTTATATAGTTTTTCTTATGGACTCAATTAATGGTACTCAAAGCAGCGTTGTTTCTAAGGTAAAAGCAAGCAACGATGTACAATTATATATTTCATTATGAATCTCTATCTTGGATAATGATTCTATCAACTGTGTGTTCCAATGGATTTCCACACATTTTCTCTTTTTGTATTGACAGCTCTGCAAAGTTTGTTTGTTAAAACCCATTAGATATGATTTTCTATTTTCGGTTGTTTCAAAATGCCAGTACGATCTGAGAATATTGTAGCATTTTGCAGAGCTTTTAGCACAGTGGTTTGTAGTGACCCTGTTTTCCCCCTTGGTGGTGCACAACAATCAATTTCTAGATACCCTCTATGCAACCTCTTCAGTATTCCTCAATGGCCTGACGTGCTGACATTCATGCTCACAAATATCACAAAGTTGTGAACATGAATGTTTCATATATATTTCAAAAGATATTTGAGAACGTAATACCAGCTAAACAAACAATGCAAGCCTTACAAAATATTGGCATCTTAAAGATGCAAATATTGTTCAAGGCATGACATAATCTCTGGTCATACTAGATCCAGGAAATTGAATTCTTATGCATGCACATACTACTATCAGTGAAAGGTTTTGGGATGGTACGATTTTTAAAATGTTTTTGAAAAGTCTCTTATGCTTGCAAAGGCTACATTTATTTTAGCAAAATACTGTACAGTAAAATAGTGAAATGTTCTTACTATTTCAAATATCTGTTTTCTATTTTAATATATTTTACTCCAGTTACTATATTTCACTTCAGTGTCACATGATTATTGCAGAAATCTTATTAAATGCTTATTATAAATCTTAACATTATAAATGTTACTGTCATTTTTAATGATTTTAATGCATCCATGCTTAATATAAATATTAATTGCTTAACAAAAAAAATGTACTCTTTGAACCTTTGACTGGTAGTGTGTGTGTGTGTGTGTGTGTGTGTGTGTGTGTACATGTATTTTCATATAGTTAATTCACAGTGTGTAGGTTACAGAAGATAATAGTATAAATAGCAGGTAGAATACAGTAGATAACATGCAGTATGCCAGTATTCCATTCGAAACATAGCCACTCTCTTTCACTGAATACGTTTTGGAAAAAGAGAACTGTGGGAATTCCATTTAATTAACTCATTCTTTTTCTGTGTTTTCTCGCTTATCTTTGTCTCTCTTGTGCTTAACCCTGGAACCTCCACCTAAACTTCTCTGTGCTCTTCCTCTCAGCCGTTAACTTTACGGATGCCTTGATGTTCGAAACTCCTCCTCCTCCCCCTCCCCTCTCCACTGACCCAATCCCAACAATACTTACCCCAGAACCAGCCACACCAGCCCCTACAACGGCTGCTCCGCCCAAACCTACTACTACCACTACTACCACAACTACTACAACTACTACCACCACTACTACAACAGCTTCCACCACGGTTCTTCCTGTTCGGCCCATGTCTCCTAAAACAGTGGATTGGAAAATGCTGGGTATCTGATAATGACAGTGTGCATTGGAAACGCCTACAGTATAGATTGATTCAATCAAATTAGTGTGTCCTCTTGTTTAGATGACATTTATTTTGTATGACTGACTCGGTTAGTGGACCATTTAGGACAGGGCATGATTGATGTTCTCCCTGTTCCCTCACGGACACACAACACTCAGACTATGCAGAATTAGTATTGACATTTGCTTTACAAATAGTTGCATTGTTGCATTAGAAAATTAAATGCATGCTCTGTAAACTATGAGATATTTAGAAGAACAAATCAGTAATATTGCTAACATTTTCTAGTTTTAAAGACTCCATGAAAGTTTTCTTTCTTGTGTTGCTGTATTTAAAGTGACAGTATTTACAGGTGGGACATAGCTATGTGTTTAATAGCTAATAAGCCAAAACGAAAACCTGCTATGAACTAAGAATCTATAATGTACCACTTACTATTGCTAGCAGATGGTATAAAGGCCCCAATATACTCTTTCTTAAACGCAACAATATACTGTTTTCATACATCGACAATACCCATGCTACTGAAAGTGGTGTTTAGATGAATATTCAAATATATGCTGCGTGCAATAATCTCAATAATGTAACAGTATTTATAAAAGTATTTACCAGTCAGTGCGAACTTTTCCAGAAAGTATAGAATAGACGTCACACCAGTTCATTCTTCGATTTTGCTTGAGGTATATTGAGCTATATTGAAGTGGTGCTTTATGCATCACTACATTAATGATAAAGGACAGGAAGTTTAGTTAATGTGACTATTAAGGGAATATTTTCATTCTAGAGAGCATTTTATTCGACAAATTTTTTAATGTGCCCCGAAGCTTAGGATGATATATTTTTGGTCCATTTTCCCCAGAGGATCGTATATTAATTTGTCAACTAGCATATAGATGACCTCAAAGCTAAGAAATCTATATTATCTAAAAGAAACAAAAGTCAAATTTAGGTTTCATGGGGTCTTTAAATTTAAGCATATGTGCCAGTGTTTGTATCAGAAAATATTTAAGTGTACTCCTCTCCCACCTGTTCTGCATAGCCCCGAATGTAAAGATCTGGAATCTGACCGTGGATGCTAACAATGACTATGCTAACGTCAGCTGGAAGCACAACTTCTCCGTTGACAGCAGCGAGTTTGTGCTAGAGTTCACACTGGACAGTAAGAGCCAGATGCACCTATTGAGAGCTTATCAAGACAAAATACTGATTTTATTTATTTATTTATTTTTCCAGTGCCCTTAATTCTTTTTGATTATACAGCTGAATGTAAATCAAAAACTATTCTTCATCCTCTGTCAGTGTTCTGTTGTGCCTGTGCATGTTTAAGACGGTCACAGCATGGAAAAGATACATGCAATACGTAACTTTGACCAGTGTATATTTCTCTACCAAAGTCTCTCTCTCTCTCTCACTTGCTTTCTTGCTCTCTCTCGCTTGCTCCTTCGCCCTTGAGCTATCTGTCCGGCTCATCAGATGTGATTGCTAACTCCACCCTTACCTCAGCCATTGGCTTCCCAGCTGCGCTCGTTGTCTGGCTGCCCACAGCTGCTTGTCTTATTGTTTATATTGGCTACCATTGTCCCATTCCGTGATTAGATTATGCCAGCAAGCCTGCCACATCTGATTGATGCCCCTTGGGCTTTGTTTTTTGTTTTGTTTTTTCCTTTGGTGGAAACGTTTCAGAGAAAGATAATGATGAGGTGAATGTTTCTTACCAAAGGGGAGAGTCAGAGTAACATAATTAACCTTGAAACATGTTGTACAGTACATCCTGATGCAATATCCCACCAAGCCGGTGAAAATGTACTGTAGCTGTAGGGGTCTGGGTTTCATCCAAGAGGTGCATCAATGTGGACTCATTTGTTTTTCACTAAGGAGTACTGCATTATTATAGGATCAAATTACATCAGGACCAATACGCACACATTCTCCAAAAGTACTTCCCATGTAGACTCACTATTTCATTATGTAACACTCCCTTTTCCTTCTCCCTCTTCCTCATCCTGTCACCATGTCCTGTTAAGATTGTGGCAGCTGCATGCATTCTGTGTGAGGCATGCTGTGTGACAATGTCTTACTATATGTAGAAGCTCCTCAGCCCATATGAGATGTTTTGTTGATCTTAAAGCAGGACATTGTGACGTTTAAAAAGCTATCAGTCCATTTTGTGCATGTAATATGGGATTAAACATTAAAATGCACATGCACATTGCTTCTGATGCAGAGGTAAGGAATAACTTGACTTTAGTAAGGAATTAAAGCAGTAGTTCACCCAGAAATGAACATTTTTTTGAGACTAAAAAAAAGAGATGACCGAGACCTGCTCTAATTGGGCCACAGAGAATTTTGGTCCGTAAAGCAGTGACTTTGAGGCACCCAGCAGTCCACTCTTATTATATAAAGTACTGCAATCACTTCAGTTTTTTGACAGTTTTGTCTATATTTTTAACCAGTAAAAATATATAAATATTTTTAGCTGTACATTTATGTATAAGCTGTTCTCAGAAAACATGCTGCAAAAATTATATATAATTTGTTTAGCTTTTTAAATATATATATATATATATTTTAAATCGCCTGTAGAAGTGGAGAGGGCATACGCTTCGCAACTATTGTGACGTTTAAAAAGCTATCAGTCCATTTTGTGCATGTAATATGGGATTAAACATTAAAATGCACATGCACATTGCTTCTGATGCAGAGGTAAGGAATAACTTGACTTTAGTAAGGAATTAAAGCAGTAGTTCACCCAGAAATGAACATTTTTTGTCACCATTTACTCACCCTCATGTCGTTCCGAACCTGTATGAGTTTCTTATGTTGAACAAAAAAGAATACATTTTGAAGAATGCTGGTAATCAAATAGTTGATGGTCCCCATTGCTGACATATATGCAGGTTTGGAACAACAGGAGGGTGAGTAAATGATTCCAGAAGTGTAATACTCAGAAAATGTTTTTTTGAAAGCATTAATGGGAATTGTCTAAAAGGGATAAGTACTTACTTTCCAGCTCATAGCTTCAGCTTGTAGATCTTGTAGCACTTTAAGGTGCTGTAATTGAATTTTGATATGCATATTATATAATCCAATGGCTGCTCGCTTCAAAGGCTCTTCTGGCATCAAACTCATGCCAACCCATGAGTTACACAGTGCATGACGATTTCATTTAGGTTTCTTATGAACATCATGGAACCTCACTGAGTCATCATGCCCACCTTTTGACAAAGCCATTGGGATTTGTCTCTCCACTTCTTGGCTTCCTCAGAGATGAGATGCGGTCTATGGGTAATTGAGACAAGGTGCACCTCCCTCCACTCTAGACCGGAGTTCATTATAGCAAATCCAGTGTGAGATATTAAGCGGCAACTTCACATCAAAGCTTTTAAGAGGCGTCACTGAAGCAAATGATGCCCCTAATACACCAATGCCAGACTTTGATGTGTGCTGAGTGAAGGCATTCCAGTATTTTCGCTACCAGCCTGCTTTTTATATACAATCTCACTTAAGAAATATCCCACCGAACAGAGAAGAATCTTGAATATAGAGTGGATAAGGATGCAGCACGTTTCCTCAATTAACAAGCATGACCTGCTATCTTCGTTTTGGTCAGTTTAGTTTGGGCTCGGTTTGATGGGCACCTCTCTTGTGTCTCCTCTTGAAGGTAATGGGTCGATGAAAAGCATACAAGTAAACCACCAGCCTCCCATTAAGCTGGCTGGGCTGGTGGCCGGGGCCAAGTATCGGTTGCGGGTGTATTCCCATGAGTACAACTCCATCAGCAGCGACTATGTCACGTTCGAGACAGGCAGAGGTGAGGGGTGGCCAAGACACAAGGGAGAAAGAAAGGGTTCAACATGTGACCTCGACCTTCTGAAATATAGAAAACTGTATTTTGTCATATTTACTGATGGGTTACTGTCACTGGCACTGTAACTGGTAAAACATGGTGCTAGCAATGCCAAGGGCATTAGTTCCTTTCCCAGGGAACAAAAAGTATTTTGTCAATTTGTCAATGCTTCAGATGCATTAGCAAACTTCTTTTTCCAGCAGGATGCATATGTGCCTCAGGTGGTGCGAGCCAGATGAAATCTCACAGCATTTTGTGTAAGAGCACGTTCAATAAGATATTGATCCCCGTGATGATAAGGATCCCTGAGCCGTGTAAATGCCATTTTAGGTGGGATGTTTGCTCTGTTTTTCGGGTATAGAAGATTGAACTCATAATGTAATCCAAACCATCAGCTTTATTGTTGGTTCCTCTCACTGATATATCCCTCTGTGATTTTCCACATAAAAATGCCACTATTAGTAGGCCTTATATTATATTATATTATATTATATCAGAGTAGACTCTAATGCCTGTGGTTTTGAAATTAAGTGTTCGACAAGCACATAAGAAGCAATGTTCACAAGTTTGGGTTCAGTAAAAAAAAGTTTAAAGAAATTGGTAACACTTTAGAATAGGGAACACATATTCATTATTAATTAAGAGTTTTCCCTCAATAACCCCCTAATTTGCTGCTTATTAATAGTTAGTAAGGTAGATGTTAAGTTTAGGTATGGGATATGATTTAGGGATCTAAAATATGGCCATGCAGAATAAAACATTATATGTGCTTTATGAATACTAATAAACAGCCAGTATACTAGTAATATGCATGCTAATAAGCAGCTATAGTTAATAGTGAGAATTGGCCCTTAAAATAAACTGTTACCAAGAAATTAATAGTTTTATTTATCAAGGATACAATAAATTGTTCATTTGTGGCAGTAAAGACATTTAAATATATATTTATAACTTAAATTAAATTAAATTTACATTTATCATTTTTAAAAGACTTCCATTTTAAATAATTTTCTATTTATCAAAGAATCATGAAAAATATGTATCATGGTTTCCACAAAAATATTAAGCAGCACAACTGTTTACAACAGTTAACTGATGATAATTATAGAATTTCTTGAGCACCAAATCAGCATATGATCCTGATTTCTGGAAGATCATGAGACACTGAAGACTGTAGTAATGGCTTCTGAAAATGTACTGTTGCTATCACAGGAGTAAATTGCATTTTACAACATATGAAAACATATTTAAAACATTTTTAAATAATTATTTAAAAGCTACCGAGCCCAAACTTTTGTACTGTAGTGTATATCCAAATAACTTTCAATAGAGAACTGGAAAAAAAAAACATCTATTCTCTAGAATCACGTTATAATATTAGGAGAGACAAAAATGTTTTGCAAGATGCATCTATTAAAAAGAGTGTTGTTGTTTTTTTTAAAAAGGGGAGTATTTGATGATGTGGTTAAACCAAGCTTTACTCAGGTTCCATTTTCATAAGATAACTCTTCATGGAGAGAGCGCCCTGTGCTCTGATGTTATTATCAGGATGGGTAATTCAAATCCAGATCCGCAGTTCTCACCGCTAATGTGTTTTTGATAAAGGATGGCTGTCAAATGACTCCTACCATGTTGCTGAAAATCAGAGAGATTTATTAGGTTCTCCATTTGGTGTTGGTATGTTCAGCTGTTCTCCAGGCTCGATAAATCATGCAGGAGGAGAACAAGCTTCTTAATGTGTAAAATGATCTGTGGGAGTTGATTTCTGCCATTCTTGCTTATGAGTATATCATTACAAAACTTAAACATTTTATTCTGTACCTCTCTTTTTCTCCTCCCTCCTCTGTGTGTGTGTGTGTGTGTGTGTGTGTTTGTTTGTTTGTTAACAGCCTACAAGGAGCAGGAAGACATTGCTACTCAGGGCTGGTTCATTGGGCTGATGTGTGCCATCGCTCTATTGGTTCTCATCCTGCTCATTGTTTGTTTCATCAAGAGGAGTCGTGGAGGAAAATATGCAGGTAAAATGCAGCAAATACACAGCCACATTATCCCAGGGTTATTTATTTATGATATGTAAATTATCCTTTTTTATCAACTGTTTTATGTATGGCATTTTTTTTTACCAGTGAGAGACAAGAAAGACCTCCCCTTAGATCCTGTTGACCATAAAGACCAAGATGGTTCATTTGACTATCAGTAAGTTTGCACTTTTGATCACTTCTACCATAAAAGTAAGCTGTTTTTTCCATAAACAGCTATTTGGGTTCATATGAAGGGAAAGGGCTTTCAATAATCTTACTTTAGAACTGTTTATATGCGCTCTCTGCTACTTATGATATTGAACCTGTTGATGAATAACTTTGTTTTACCTGTTACAGGTCCTGAACTTAGCTCTCACCCTGCAGAGGGGAATATGCCTTTTTCATTTTAATCGAAAATAACAACTAACCATGTAAACCAAACAAATTTTAATTAACAACTTACATAAACACCCCCAAAAACATTTGTTGATGAGGCTTTCATATTACCTAAACACAAAATAAGCCTGCTGCGGTTAATAGATCTCAGTTCAGCTGGAAAACAATGCAACGATTTCTCAGGAAACTGTGGTTGCCATGGAGTTAAAAACTCTCCAGTGGGCATCTTATCACCATCTTCACCAACATCATCTTCTTTAAATGAGTCCTCCCTGAACAGTTCTACCTCTGCTCTCTAAACCAGACAGATCTCATAACTTCACACCCTGAAGTCCTATAGTGGCAGGAAGAAATCGCAACTCTGAAGAGGAGTTCACACTGCCCCAACAAACTCCAACTTCCAGCACTTACTTTAGTATTATTAATACACTAATATATTGTTTATTAATATTTTTAATAATAGTATGTATGTGACAAGAGGGGCAGGGCCGAGAGCCGTGGGAACGGAGCGAGGCCGGTGGAGTAAATGCTAATGCGCGACACCTGCGCCACTCACCGGTCTCGAGTCCATGTGGTGAATCCGCGGTGCCATCGAGCATGGCGAGCAGTCTGCCGCCGTGGACGCTCGAGGCGGTGGGCTGGAGTGAGTTGCCGGGGGGGCGGACGAACTGCCGTCCGTAAGGGAGCGGAGGAGTCGCTGCCGTTTGCTTGAGGCCGGAGCCTGCTCCTCCCCATCATGGCAGATGGCAGCAGGCTCCGGCCTCAGGCAAACGGTGGGTTATGAAAGGTTCATATTTAGGCGGGAACCGGCGAACGCTCAAAGAAAACTTTAATAAAATAAACAAACACAAAATAGCGCGACAGCCCCTCGCGGACGACTGTCGCGCACAAACAAAACCAAAACACAAAATAAAATCCAGGCCTGGTTCTCTCTCGTCCAACACTGTCGTCACTCCTCCTTTTATCCTTCCGGAGCTCCTCCGTGGGACTCGAGACCGGTGAGTGGTGCAGGTGTCGCGCATTAGCATTTACTCCACCGGCCTCGCTCCGTTCCCACGGCTCTTGGCCCCGCCCCTCTCGTCACAATGAACTTACATTTTTATACTTTCAGCTTTCATTTGAATTTAGCAGTTATTTTATATGCTTTTTTTTTCAAGTTTAATAATATTGTACTTAATCTTATTTCAGTTAGTTACCATTGCAACATTTCTGTTTTAGAGATTTATTTAGAGCGGACAGGAAGTGAAGTGGGAGAAAAAGAGAGGGCTGGTTCGGGAAATGTCGTTATTCGAATTCGGGACGCCCATAACGCAACAACATTATATGTCGGCGCACTTGACCACTAGGCTATCGGCACCAACACCATTGCAACATTTATAATTTTCGAAGTTTTTATTCTAACATTTATATTTAAATTATTTCAGCTGTTTTGCAATCAAAGAAAACTATTTAGAATCATTTGAGCTTTAGTTAACTAGCACTGGCACTTGATGGCTTTTGTTCGGATCAGTGTGTTACCGTGTTGGCATTTGTTAGGGCAGTGTGAACCTTAACAAACAAACTTTTTTCTATCTGTCATCCTTAATTTATTTTCAAGGTTTTGTTGTGTAAGCCCACATCTTTCAAGATGGTGTGGATATTACAACTTTGGTACAAAGAGTAAAGGGAAGTGTCAGTGAGGGCTTTAGGCAGACGTTATACATCTGAACCAATATCTCTAGCTCGATAAGCTAATAATTGTCATGTTACTTATGCAATGTTGAGAATAAACTATAGTAACACTTCAAACTTAGCATTTTCAGTTGGATGACAAATATAAATAGTTTAATATTGTTAGCTAGTAAATTTTAACATTTGTTAACTTTTCAGAATGGTAGCTTGATTAGTATAGCAAGCTAAACACAAGCTGTGTCCAAAATCACTCACTCGATCACTCATTCACTCATTCACTAACTCCTATATAGCGAATGGCAGTTAAGTGCACTATATTAGCAAGGAGTGACAAAATTAAGTGAGTGAATTCACGGTGGATTTTGGATTTTTGTGTTCTAGCCAGTGTATGTGAGCTCAAAGAGTGCATTGTAGGTACAGTGGTGGCCAAAATAGAAGTGAGTCGTACTGTTTTTATCCACTTTTGACTTTAATATTTGGTATGTCCACCTTTTGCAGAAATTGCAGCAGCACATCTCTCTGCATAGTGTCAGTATATTACCTGAGAACTTCAACACTAATGTTATCCCATGCCTTCTGCAACAAGCCAAAAACTTTCCTGTGAATGTCCAATAGATCTGTCCAGTTTATTTTCCAACTCGCCCCAAATTTGCTCGATGGGGTTTGTGGATGACAGAACGGGGACTAAAGCTGCTGTCTAATCAATGTTTGAGCTCTATAAAAAAGGTGTTAAACTCCTTGGTCCCTTTATTGTGGATGTAATCCAGCAATTTTATGAAAGTAAACACACCGTGTCCTAACCAAACACGATGCAATAAAGCAGCCAGGGTGAAAAGCCAGCTACAAGCAGCTCAGGTGTGGATAGAGACAGGATGTTTTCAGGGTTTTACATAAAACATGACCATACGTCAATCTTTTTTCCCAACTATGTCCTGGCTGGGATCTCTAAATTGCCTAACATTTCTAGGTTTAGGCTTAGTTTTCCTCTTGACGTGCTCTCTACAGTTCTCATACATTAAAGTGCCCCTATTATGGGTTATGAAAGGTTCATATTTTGGTTTTGGGAGTCCCCAACAACAGGTTGACATGCATGCAAGGTCAAAGAACACTTTCATTGTCTTATAATATGCATTTATTTTTTACCTTATTTGCTCAACGACTCCCAAACGATTCGCTCAGCGATTCATTTTTCCAAACCCCTCCTTTGAGTGACGCTACTCTGCGGTGATTGGTCCGATGACCCAGTCTGGTTGTACACCAACGTAGTTTTATGGGGATTGTAATGGCCAATTCAACAAAAACAACTGAAACCTCTTAAATATGCCAAGTATTCTAACAATTTTGGCCACTGCTGTATAAACGACTGAAGTCGTTCACTTACAATTACAAAAGTGCACTATATAGGCTACTGGGAGCATTTTCAGATACAATAATAGCTTCTCCAACACTGCACCTAAGCTACATTTGACATTTCAGTAGAAATTTGTAGTTTGATTTGGTGTAATCCTCTTAACAACTAATTGAAAAACATGCTCTAACCATTTGGACTAAAGCATTTTTAATAAAACCACTCATGTGTCACATTATTAACAGTTATGTAATATTAAATGGTTCGCCTTTTGTCAAAGCTAATTCACTTTAAGGAGATCAAGACCACAGATCTTCAGTAACTGATTAGCTTAGTAATGATAAGATGTAAGTTAAGCTGAGCCCTCCCTTTCTACTTTCTCACGTCTCTCTCCAACTAACATGTGAATGATGTGGTCAACTCCATCTTCATGATCCCTTTTCTTCCCCCTCCTCTTTCAAATTGGCGGATGGGTTGTTAAGGAACGAGAACAGGTATTTGGTTTCAGCACATCATCTCAGCCTGAGCATGTCATTGGTTAGCCTACATGTGGATGACAGAACGGGGACTAAAGCTGCTGTCTAATCAATGTTTGAGCTCTATAAAAAAGGTGTTAAACTCCTTGGTCCCTTTATTGTGGATGTAATCCAGCAATTTTATGAAAGTAAACACACCGTGTCCTAACCAAACACGATGCAATAAAGCAGCCAGGGTGAAAAGCCAGCTACAAGCAGCTCAGGTGTGGATAGAGACAGGATGTTTTCAGGGTTTTACATAAAACATGACCATACGTCAATCTTTTTTCCCAACTATGTCCTGGCTGGGATCTCTAAATTGCCTAACATTTCTAGGTTTAGGCTTAGTTTTCCTCTTGACGTGCTCTCTACAGTTCTCATACATTAAAGTGCCCCTATTATGGGTTATGAAAGGTTCATATTTTGGTTTTGGGAGTCCCCAACAACAGGTTGACATGCATGCAAGGTCAAAGAACACTTTCATTGTCTTATAATATGCATTTATTTTTTACCTTATTTGCTCAACGACTCCCAAACGATTCGCTCAGCGATTCATTTTTCCAAACCCCTCCTTTGAGTGACGCTACTCTGCGGTGATTGGTCCGATGACCCAGTCTGGTTGTACACCAACGTATTGCTCTATTCTTTATCATAACTCCAAGTAATAACAGCGACAAACATTCACTATTCATCGACACATTTTTAGACAATTGCGAGCGAACAGATGTTGCTGTTAGCCAGAGTCAGAGACCTAATGTTACAAGCTCCGCGGAGCAAACACAACACACATAAACCATATGTATTTGCAAGCATATGTATTTTGCATGCTACAGAGAACATGAAAGCAACTATTTTTAATCACACTTACAGGTTGTGATTCGCAGGCGGAAGAAGCTGGTCCAAGTACACTGGTTATTGATCCTTCTTTCAATAACAACTGGCATGCAAATCCCACGTTGTACGCATTTAGGTTGCTGTAGCAGTCATCAGTAAAATGACGGGGACGCAAGGTTGGGGCTATACTGCTGTGGTATTGCTGGAAAAATGAACTTTAACCATTGATTCTTCACAGCCTCGTCCTTTGACAGTAAAAAAAAAAAAAAAGACGGATTTACAATTGTGTTTGAGGGACGGGGGGTTCAAGTTTTCCCGGGTCTGCGTGCGCAACAAGTGGGGGGGCAATATGCTAATGTTTCATGTTGACGTCAACATGAAACGGCTTGGGATTCGTTTTTTAAAAACGACTCGTTTCAATGATTCAGAGTCGACTCTTTCTTTTGAGAGACAATAACTTTATACACGGTGCACTTTCAGATTTAAAACTTTGCAGGATGTTTTCATTCACTTAGAGCTGTGTTACACACTGCATGAAAGGTCATTTTCAAAAATCCATAATAGGGGCACTTTAAATGTATGCATATTTGCATTGGTTTGATCATTCTATGTAGATCCCACCTTCTCACAGGTCACCATTGTTTGATTATGTACAATGCTTGCACGCTATTGGTCAAACTACTTTTCAGTCATTACCTTCAACAAGTATGATATCAATAAGAAAACACAGACAAAACACAGACATTTTATGCAATTTAGAAATCCCATCTAATACATGTTCGGGAAACAAAGAAAACATATGGTCACCATAAACATAATGTAACATGGCTGTGCTTTTTAAGAAGAGCAAACTGCTTGTCACTTGAAACTTGCCTATTTAGGACACGGTGCTGTAAACACTTACAGCACCACTTAAAACACTTATCGCATGGTTCATAAAAAGCCGTTCATCTCTGAGAGTGAATTGGAATTTGTATTAAAAGCTTTGGCCTGAAATAAAATGTCAAGTACTGAAGCATTTTATTCCCTCTTAAAATAAGTTTGACTCTCTTATAAATAAAATGATAATAATGATTATTTTTTCATTGTAAGGTTAATATTTTAAAAGCTGGTACTGTAATGTCAAGGTTAATTTGTCAAAAAGGAACCAAGGACACATAGATTCAATGACAGCATGAAACGTGAAAATGATTCTGCTTTGTTTAGAGGAAACTCAGTTGAACATATATTTGCATGCAAGGAGTTTGCTAGGAAAATGTATGGTTTTTCACTTCATTGAGTCTATGATACCCTTTGGCTTTCAGAATTTATAATGCATTTCCTATAATCTGAGAGGAGAGTCTGCTGGAAATCAGAGCCCTTGGGTTTTGTCAGTGATCTGTATTCAATAGAATGCCACATCTAGAAAATAAGCAAAACGCTAATGACAGATTATTTGCTGAGGGCTGTTTATAATTATGATGTTCACTGCATAATTTTCTTTTTCCTCTTATTTTTCTTTTAAGTGCCTCTTTGATGACACAAATGTTTTGTTTTGTTCATTTTTTCTCACTCTTTCTCCCTTAATATGTTTTTATTCTTGGGTGTTTTCCATTCCTGTTGGTCCAATGAAGGTCTCTTAAAAGGGAAAGGTATGAAAAGAGCGGCATTAATTTCACCTGCCTTTGGACTATTAATCAACAACTAAAGCTTTTTCTGCCTTGCATTTTTGATTTTAATCGATTCATACATGTCCTTCTCCTTTAGTATTGATAAATGACTGAAAGCATAGGATACACAACATTTTTTTCCATGACACATTTTTTTTCCCTGTCATTCTAACATGACTCATAATTCATGCTTCAAAATTGATGTTGTTAGAATATAGCAATTTACCAAATCTGTACATTTAATAACTTTATTTATTGGGCTGTCAATTTAAAGGAATGGTTTACCCAAAAATGAATATTTGCTGAAAATATATTCACCCGCACATCATCCAAGATGTAGAAGAGTTTGTTTCTTCATCAGAACAGATTTGCAGGAATTTAGCATTACAGCACGCCAATGGATTCTCTGCAGTGAATGGGTGCCGTCAGAATGAGAGTCCAAACAGCTAGAAAAACATCACAATAATCCACACTGAACGTGTCTGTCAATTAACATCTAGTAAAGTGGAAAGCTGGTTGAAGAACTGGAATCGTATGAATTACTTGTGGATTAGTGCAATGGTTTTCAGTTGTTTTGACTCGCATTCTGACGGCACCCATTCACTGCAGAGGATCTATTGATTTAACTAATTGGCTTAATGTCATGTTGACAGCCCTATTTATTCATTAATTCATTTATTTGCTTTTAAAATATTTTAGAAAAATTAGGCTACCTGATCTCATGATGAAAACGTACCTGTGGGAATTTTTTCGTCCAGACATGAAATAAGGTTACGTACCAATAAGTACATATCACTGCAGTTTCCAACAGAAATTAACACTAGAGGCGATAAAACAGCAAGTACTTGTAATCGTTTTCATACACGGTTATGATTACAGCTTCATATGTTTCGCTTTCCGGACGTAGGCCTAATAATTTTGCTCGGTAGCTCAGCTGGACATAAGATGCGGAATCCTTGGGTACAAATCCCGTGAAAAGCATGACTCACGGTGAAAGAGCTGAAAGATGAGGGATCGTAAAACAAGCTAAAACGGCATGCTTGTGATTGCGTTTTTACGTCACATTCACTTTTGTTCATACCATTCGGGTAGGTTTAGGTGTAGTGCAGATGGCACTATATTGTAAAACGTCACGGAGCATTAGAGTTATAGTGCCACTCAATGGACATTTCAAATCATAACTGCGGTGACGCGTACAAAACACTACAACACATAAAACGTACCATATGTACGTTCATCTGTTCCGGGGGAAAAAAAACAAACACTCTTTTAGTGCCACTCAGTGGACATTTCACATAGAATATGTATCGAAATATACATGACGGTACGTATTTCGCATCTTGCGAAAAAGTTCCCACAGGTACAATTGCAATTAGGTGTATGCAACAAGCCGTAATTCATGCTAAATTTTGCATCACGTCATCACAGTTTTCATATATCCTGTCAAAAATGATGTAAAATACGAAATGCAGATTGCTTTCGCTCATTGAAAATCAGTTTTTCCACTGTTTGAGGTGAAAAGCAGGTGATACTGTGGGTGTGAGGACTGATCGATTAAATCAAAAACCCATTCTCTTTATTCCCTGAACTCTTGCTGGTGCAGAGAGTGTGTTTGGTGGGGAAAAAGCATTTCCTGAATGTGCCTTATTGAATCTAAAGATAAATAACTAAACAGCCATGATTTTCCAGTTGTCATGGTGCATGCACAGAACTGTGTCATCTGGTAATATCCATTTGATGCAGAATTGCTCCTTGTTTATAGAGAGGATATATGCAGTTGGTAAAAGCATTTTTATGACCCATAGCAATGGATAATATCATGGAGCCTGGTTGTAAACCTTGTTTTGTGAGGGGACAAAGTAGTTTATTTACAACATTTCAATTTAACAGCCCATCATTAATACAATTTACAACAAGGTCCATGGATATTACATGAAATTTAAAATGGACCTCTGTGCTAAGTCAACGATTTTTAGGATCTCATAGGTGTTGCTTTGTGGTTTTCTGTTTTCTTGGTGCTTCTCAATTGATGTACTGTAGGTCCCAGTTCCTCATGCATGACACTCTTACCCCCCAGCAGAGGTCCGTTTTAAAACGACTCTCATGTGTGGGCATGGACAGGACAGGGGATAAAAGATCTACCTATGATAATATAGTGCAATGAATAATTTATAGCCATGACATCATTTATAGAATACAGAGAGCAAAGAGTTTGTCTTTGTCTTTAGTAATAAATTTGTTGTTCTTTCACCTTGGGACTTTTCTTTTCTCCTTGGCGTTTCTCAAAAGTGAGATTTGAAATGTTTTTCTCAGCATTTGTAATAGTTTTTACATGGAATAAAAAGCAAAACTGTCAACTGTTTGGAAAATCTCATTAAATTCAGATGCCACATATCTGGGAAGTAGGATTTTGGTGTTTTAATATTCTACTTTTTCTTTTTCTATATTCTTTAATATTCTGATACACTACTTTTTAAAAGTTTGGTGTCAGTAAAATAAATAAATAAAAATTAATACTTCTAAGTATTATTAAGTATTCATAATGTTAGAATAAATATAATCTTTTAAACTTTCTATGCAATCAAAATACCCTTAAAAAAATGTTTTCCACAACAACAAAAAAAAAAACGTTCAAACTTGATAATAATAAGAAATTATGATTACTTAAGTGGCAAATCAGCATATTAGAATGATTTCTGAAGGATCATGTGACACTGAAGACTGGAGTAATGGCTGCTGAAAATGAATTTAAAATATATTCTATTATGAAGTAATTTGTAAGTTGCTTGTGTTTATGTAATCAGAATACATGCCTACTTTTAAATGGTTGTCTAACATGCTTTTGGAGTCACAACATCCCCCAAATTAAGGGTGCTACTGTAACAGGCCCATGCTATTCAGTCGAACCATGTTCTAACTCTTTTTCTCTTTCTCCCAACAGCAGCGACGAAGACAACAAGCCATTGCAAGGCAGCCAAACATCCCTAGACGGGAACGTAAAAGAGAGCGACGACAGTCTGGTGGATTATGGTGAAGGAGGAGACGGCCAGTTCAACGAGGACGGCTCTTTCATAGGCCAGTACACAGTTAAGAAGGACAAAGAGGAGACAGAAGGAAACGAGAGCTCAGAAGCCACGTCACCCGTTAATGCCATCTACTCTCTGGCATAGCACCCTAACCTGAGCACGGCGCCCCCAGCGGGCCGGAGTGTGCCACTACACGCGTAAAAATACATATATATACATACAGAGAGAATTACAAGTATTCACATACAATGCACTGGAGTGCATGATCCTTCTAAACAAGGGATGGGGAAAGGCAGGTGAGCCAAAAACGGTGTTCAGAAACCTTTCTTTAAGGTATCCCCATGCCCCACACAGACTTTAGTGTGCCTTTAGGGCGACGGGGCGGACTTTTGAGCTTTTCGTGTGGCTTATGCTCTTCTTTTTTCATTTTGTAAATCTTTAATCTGCCCCTTCCTCCTCCTCCTAACTGTAGCTAGCATCAAAGAAACGGAGATACAAGCACCAGACCTGTGACATATCAACTGTGGGTCGACTCAACTGCAGAACGTCGGCAAATACGTTTATCATATTGATATTTCCGCAGTGAATGATCCTTTTTTTCCTCCACCGCAAATAGATGCATCTAAAAACATGAATCCTCTAGACAGTGCTGGCACGGTTTGATGTGCTTTATAAAACTATGCACTATGTATTATCATTATCGTGCTTTTGGGTTAAAATTGGACGTTAGAATCTCATGTTTTCTTTTGTATGTTGACTTTTGCAACAAAAAAAAACATCCAGTCCTGACTGTATACAGTATGCGACAGGACTGATATCATGCTTTCATTTGCCATTGCTTTGTTAATATATTTTTACTGGCTGCAACTATAAAACGCCACCAATATTTATCGGCCGAGGTTACATGGCATCACTTGTAAATGAAGAAAAAAAGACAACATTTTGAAGCATGGTAGTATTTTAGCGCAAAGGACAATGGAGAGGTGATATGAAGAGTCAAATACACAATGATATATTCCTTTTTTTATAAGACTTGATTTATATAGTCCTCAAAAGAGAATGACGATGATGAAATGATCACGTTTGTTTTTCTTTATTTCTTTTTTTAAATCAGCTTGGTGAAGATTTCGGTGTCAGAATAAGTTTCTTCAAGGAGTCTAAAAAAGTTTGGGGTGCATCAATACATAAGTGGGTTGTCATATGAGGATTTCTAGACATGAATAACTCAACATAGACATACTGAGTCGGTAAAGAGAAGTGTACATATTGTTTGGGGTTGATCCAGTGTTGATTCTCTTTGTCGGGAGAGCAGCTGAGACACTGCCCTGAAGACATGCCACTGTAACTGTAGTGCCGCTCTCATACTACTGTACTACCATTACTTTATCTTCTGCACTACTATGGTTCAAAAGTCTGAGGATCTGGGATTTTTACATTTGCACCTGGAAATAAACAACATTTTATGATTTTGAAAAATTGAAAACTAAAAATGTAGATATTTAAAGATATCAAAGTTGACAATGTTATGGATATATATATAAATGATTTAGTCATGCACATTATTATTATTATTTTTAAATCTTGTGCCATTTTGCAATCAGCTCTCAATAGACAAATCACTTTTCTTTTGTTCGAGAAGCTGAACACATTGGGGGAAAACACGATCGCAGCTTCTGTTTCATGCCAACTTTAGGATTTAATTAAATAAGGAACCGATTCATTTGAAACATTGAGTCTGTTGTGACTCCTTACAGATGGTCAGATATTTTTCTTCCACATTCTAAGAACATCTGTCTTTGGATGCTTTAAAATCATCCTGGTTTTACCCAAACTTGCTGAGTTTATGCAGCTTTATTTCTGCTGTCATTAAAGCAAAAGGGCGACAAACCACATATATTAATTTTTACTAGTGCTCTCAAACTTTTGGACCCCTCTACATATTTATCTTGATTTTATTTATAAAAATAATAGGGACTAATATATTAATAATTTATTGAGTCTGAACTGTGCTGTTGAAATCTTCTCTGTGTAATGTAGATGAAAACATAATTCAGAGATCAAGGACCATGTTTGTGGCGATGTAAAATAGTCAAAAGTGATGTCACCGTTAAAAGGAGTATGTCTTATTTGTTAATTGTGCTGCTCTTTTTAGTATTTATGTCGTATCACTGCTATTGTGTTCATATTTTAGAATTTATTTAATTAATTTCTACATAACATGAAATGGAAATATTGTGTATTTATTTTTTTCAAATAAGGCCTCGGTCATGATGTAAATATTATTTTTTTTGAGCAGGTTTACTGTGTTACAATAAGTAAAAATAAAAGTACTTTTGGTGCATCCCAAAATGCAAGACTCCACGCACAGGTTTGGATTCGGGTTCAGCCAGTGATCTTGGGTAATTTGAATGAGACTTGTTTTTGTGTCCTGTCATTTTAATCGTGACATATTTCTTCACTCACATCCCAATTTCACCCGGCTGACACCATGATGTAAATAGCAAATGCTGTAGAGCTGTACCATTGTAGCATTCTGCACTGAGGATGATACCTTTTTGTAAACATTTGAATTGTGTTATGCAAGAGAAAATGGTTTGTCTGTTCATGTATTACTTCACCACAGGCTCCCATAATGCCTTTCACCTGTGACACGGCCCAGCTGATCATGCTCTTTGAAAGGGCTGAATATCAGGTCATAACTCCCTGATAGGGATGCGTTGTCTTCGCAGTAAAGAAATACGTGTTAATGAAATTGATTGGATCCATCAGATCTGCTTTCTCTCCAGTACCTCAAAGCAATACTGTCCTCGTTTGCCTTTCGCTCTTCTGTTTTCTGCACAGCTTTTGTAGTGACTTACATGCACAGACAACTCTTTAGATCACATGTGATGTTGTTGTAGCTTTGTGAGTCACACGGTTTAACATCAAGGCAATTCAGAGTCGGCTTAAAACCATTTTGACCAACCTTGCCTTGAACTTCTGCAGCCACTTTTATCGTCCTCACAGATTGTTCCCCTGTCCATGAGTTGTTGTGGACTGGCGATGTTCAAAAATATATACAACTATATATCTGTTGGTATATTGCTTATTCTGTCTTTCTCCCAATGTTGGATCATCTGTGTACTTAACTGGTAACATGCATAATTTAGTTACCATAAAACAAAGAGTACAATAATCGCCACAGCTATTCTCATGACACGTTTGATTTTTTTTCAAAACCATACATGTTGATTATTATTATCATCCTTGTATTTTTAGCCATTTGTGCATCGGAGCAGCTTTTTAAATTGCTGATCATGCTGGTTAACAGTGTTTATTTTTCCTGTAAATCTGGCCAAGGAAATGGTCAGTCGTTATTGTTCAACATGTATGCGTGTATGACGAGATGCTGCAACTTCATCTGCTCGAAACGCCTTTCTTTATAGTAAAGCTGTGTCATTTTCTCAACCATCTGATCTGTCCTTGCCTCTGATTAAAAAATAGTTTCACTTTTTAAACACTTACTGGTTTGGTTGGTAAACTTGACACATTTCCATTGAGTCATAAGTATCGCATAAATCTTCATATAGGAAGAAATTTGGGTTTTGAGGATTTTATAGAAGAAAAATTAAAGCGTTAACTATTCAGAATTGGATTAAGAATGACTTTTGAATTGACGTAGCAAATGGGCAGATTCAGACTTGAACTAAAGTATATAATTTAAAATGTAATTGACTTTAATTTTGGTGAAAATATATAAAATTATGTAACAGCTTAACAATTATATAATTATAATTTTAATAATTATATTTTTATTTTACACTTAGTAAAAAAAAAAAATAATAATAATTAAAAAAAATATATATATATATATGTGTGTGTGTTGTAACGAATCATCTCATGGGAAATATGAATAATTAATCATAACTAGTTATAATTAATTATGAATATTTTAGATCCGCTGTAGATATTTACTTGACCTCTCAGGGTCAACTGTCTTGTCAATTCTAAGAACGTTAATTTCCTGGTGCATTCTTTTGGCCAATAAACCCAGTGATATCAGCGTTGGTTGCCATGCAACCAGGAGCCTGTTCGGCTTCCTGGGGTGTTACGCATTTCGGGGGGGAAGGGTTCATGGGTCCTCATATGGCTTGTTAACTGAGGGGGGTTACAGAGTATTTGTTAAATATAAAAACAAAATATATATTGTGTGTTTGAGTGGTCCAGACGCTACAGTGTGTGTGTGTGTATGCTTGTTTGTTTGCTATTCTTTTGCTATATATATGTAGCAAACGCACAGATGCATATATTTATAAACACACACTTATATATTACTTATATATTACTATCTATATACGTAGCAAATGAGCAGATTTAGACTTGAACTAAAGTACATGAATTAAAATGTCATTGAATTCAAAATGTTATTTCTATATATAAAAGGGTATATGTATAATTTCTTTTTTTACATTACTTTTTATATTAGATGAAAGAAACTCAAAGAAGTGTCCTTTTTAATTTGGTTTTATAATTATATAAAATAGTACTTTAATATTTCATGTTAATTATAACATACTATTAAATATAAATATAAAATATGTAATTTATTATAATTTGTATGAATAATTTTTCAATATGTACGTGTACATTCTAATCAGTGTCATTTATATTCAAGGTTAACACTAGATTAAAACCCATATGATGCAGATCTCTGTTCATCATTGTCTCCAGTAATCTGCAATCTGTTGAACAGGCCAACTCATCATCCACACTACATTTGAGTGAGCCACAGCTCTCCCCATTGATTTTACCCATATCCGGACGACTACAATGACTTCCACAGCTTAATGTAGCCGATACGACCTCTTTCTTTTACTCAGATGGCAAGAGGCACAAAAAAACGAGTGGTGAAATAAATAACAAGCCTGTGACGATAAATCTGTTGTGGACCCTGGAAAGAGTGTACCATAGACATATTTTATTTAGGAGAGATGAATACATTTTGCCTTGACCCCCCCTGAGACTGGTAAATATTAATGCCCTCTGCCTTCCGCCATCTGAGAGAAAAGCCAGACCTTTTAAACACCTGTCACATATATCTCTCACGGACACCATTAACTAAAATAGCCATGGCCAAAGCTTCAAGCCACCTTTCAGCAGCAGATAGGATTCTGTAATTACTTCTTTAAATAAATGGGGTTAAGTTACTCTCTTAATGCAGGTGCATTGACAAAGTGCAGTCGAATGATTCATGTGAAAGTGTGGCGCAACATTAACCTGAGATTGGTTTTAATTAAATGGGTTGTTTACTAATGAAAACAGAGTTTTGTTCGAGTTTATGCCGTTTAAGAAATAGTCAACTTAAATAATTAGCTGCAAATTCACCCTCAGGCCATCCAAGATATAGAGAAGTTTGTTTCTTCATCAGAACAGATTTGGAGAAATTTAGCAGTACATCACATGCTCTCCATTGGATCATCTGCAGTGAATGGGTGCCGTCAGAAAGTGACGTTATGAAT